AGAGAGAGAGAGAGAAAGGGAAAGAGAAGACTCCTTTCGACGCGCGCGATGACGTAGACGCACTTGTTCGGACGATCGTTATCCCAACTCGGATGAGAGCGAATCGCATATCGCATCGCATCTGTTTCTCGCGGTGTGCCGTGCCGTGTCGTAAAACTGCGTGCGTGAGGCAAGTGCGTGGCGTAGGACGCGTGTATGCACGTTTCGTGCGAAAGGGGAAAGGTGCGAGAAATCGATTGCCGGGTCGCCGGATGTGCTGGCTCCTCTCCTTGACAGTGGGCTCGTTCGATCGATCGTCGGACAAGACGTCCCGAGTCCTTTATAGTTTCAATTCCTCGCGGTCTCCTCTTCGGATTCGATCTCCGTGTAAATTTCTGGAGGATGTGTGAGAAAAACGATATGTCTGTGAAGAAACGCGACTAACGACTCTATCGTAGGAAAGAAAGATCGCAGCTGTGATTTAGTAGAAACGATTGGTTTGGCCGTCAGATATTTGTTTGTTAAATTATGAAATTGTATTACGAAGTTGATTTGTGAGGATCAGTATGTTATGCAGATTGGGCGGTTACATAGAGATAAATTAAATTAGACAATCTCCCAGAGGGAGAAATTTATCTCGTTGCTCGACAGAATGTCAACAGAATCGAACGCGAATGGGACAGTTGTAGAATAAAACATCCGAGATGCGTTTCAGATTACATCTTTTTCTACATAATCATAAGTTGAACTAGTGTAATTTGTTATACTAATTCTTGTGTTAATTTTTTAATTATCACGATCAAGCTCGAGCTTCAAACAAAATCCCGAAATAAATTTTCTTTTCACTTAATTAGAATTTTCAGCGGAATTTTAAATACTCAAATATTCGACTTTTCTTTTACTTAACTTACAGTTCCTATTTAGAGTCGAATAGAATACAGAATAGAATACAGTTTCTATTTAAAGTAAAATTTCATTGAATCAACAATTTTTCCTCAACTTCAGAGAAAATGATTCGTTTATCATTTATTTCAGATGTAGGAGTACAATTTTCACAAATGAAGTTCTGTAGAATCTATGAATGTTTTATTAACTAGATTTAATTAAATAGATTCAAAAATAGAAGCAAAAACAAATAATTAAGCCAAGGAATATAATAGTTAGCCGGGTTTTCTAAAATGTTGTTTATGATAAGAAAAAAACAATAATATCATAGAAGTACATAGAAGCGAACAATTTCGAATCGATATTTCTTATGATTTGAATAATGCAATTCGTGGAATTCCGCGATCTGATCGAAATCAGCTAGCTAACGTATGGGTTATTGGAGGCGAAATGTGCGCGACGGAAATGCTGATCGCGTCGTTTTAGCGCGTCGTTCGTCAGATAAACGAGCCCGAGCGTTTCGCGTGCGAGTGGAGGACGGGACGTAATAACGCCGGGATTACGCGACACCCACTATCGCGTAACCGCATTACGCAATCGTTATCTCCCGAATGAGTTACATAGCGTTGTGGCGTAGTGCGCTGTCGACTTTTTGACACGCGCGAACTTGAGGAAAATCGATAATCCAGTATTAATTAAATCGCGCCTCGTCGTCGTCGTCGTCGTCGCGTTCTAAAGATTCTCGTTCAACTCTCCTCGCGACTGTTCGTCGATTCTTCGTCGATTTTTCGTCGATCGCGCGGGAATTTTTCTCATAAACGACCCAGCGAACAGAACCCAAACGTCACGCTGCACGTATGTATGTAGGGTGTCCCTTTAAACACCGAGCCAATTTCTCCTCCGATGATCGAGTCCTCTTTAAGAAGGAAGCACTTATTAATTAAATGCAATTCTATTATAAATTAGTTTTTATTTTTATTATCAATTAATTATAATAAATAATCAATCATCGCGCGCGGATTGTGAATCCTAAGGGAATCAGCGAGATACACGAACATTCTGTATATAACACATACCGCTGCGTAGCGCTGCGAGCACGTGACAGAAACGTCGTCGAGGCGTCGTAGTCGTCGTTGGTGTGATGCGGCGCATCGATGCGGATTTTCCTCATCGATGCGCGGAGATGCGAGTGCGTTCGCTGCGCGTTTGTTCCCGATTCCCGGTGGCGTGATTAATCGCGCGTCGCGACAAAAACCAGCTGTTATCCGCGGGGAAGGGGAGGGAAATCCGTTACTCCACCTCGCGCGGACGGGACGCCGTCTCGGCGAACGGCATAACCTCAAAGTCACCGCGACGGGTGGAGGCGCGTCGGCAGCGACGGCGGGCGTCGGGCTTCCGTTCCCTCCTCCACCTCCCTCCCGGAATAGAAGCGAACGCGGTGCGCACCGACGTCGTTGCGCGGCACGGCGATCGATGCAATTAAAGGGGGAGAATTATTCATCGGGAGCTTTCGCAGGCGATTCAACGGCAGCTCCCGTGAGCTGTGTTCCCGTGTCGTCCGCTCGTCGCTCGTCCCCGCCACCCCGGATGCGGCGACGCCGCTGCTCCGGTCCGGCCGCTCCGGCACGGCCCCCGTTCCGGATGCTGCACGCGTGAGATTACGTCGCGCTGTCGTGTGCCGCGTATCGCGTAGACCGCGGCGGCGGACCCGGACTCCGTACCCGCGAGCATGAACCGGCAAGGGCTAGCACGCGCGCCGACATGTGAGAAAAATCGTGCGTGGGATATACGTACGTGAGAGAAGAGTAGAGAGAGCACGAGGGAGAGAGAGAGAGAGAGAAAGAGAGATCTGGCGACGACAGGACACGGTGCAGATCATGGAAGTCGCGGCCACAAAGCTGGTGCAGTGGTTCAACGAACTCAGGTCCCGGGTGCACCTTTACCTGCATGCCCAAACCCGTAAGTCATTCCTGGAGTAGACACGGGAGTCGATCGGGTTTAAAATAGTGAAGACAAGATATTCCGCGGGATCGCCTGTCATTATGCGGAATTATGCAAACGATCACTTATGATTGATTTCCATTCGGATGGAATTCGTAATAATTTATCGCGCTTGACAATTTAACGATGGGAAGAGGACTTTCTACGTTTTAAGAGGCGCTGACAAGGTTTCGCGCGCGTCAAGGTTTTTCATAATTTAATACCCTGACACGCGTCACCTCGCGGTGCCATTAATAGCTGGTGTTCGCGAGTCTTTTTTTAAAAAAAGCTTGTCATTCCTTATTTTAATCGTGAAAAATGAACCTATAGATACGTGATAATTAATATTACGACAATAATACGCATTATGGCGTATCATAATTTGTTTTATGTATAATAACTAACATAATAATAATGTATATTATTAATTAATTTATAATTAATTAATTGATGTCTCATCTAGCCTCATAATTTTTTTATCCGTTGAACTGTAAATTATAAAAATTCTCGTTGAATTACGAGAACTCGGAAATACTAAACTTATCTCTCTTTTCTCTCACAACCGCCTTACCTTTCCCATTGTCGTAGCCATATATTCTGAAATTGCAAAAATCTAAATTTCTCATGGAGAATAAAAATATGTGTTATAACGCTATACTTATTTTAATTTTGATTAAACATATCAATTAATCTCGTGCGCAATAAATTATTATTATTACCACTAATCATGATAATCAAATTTAAATATATAAAAATGCCTTCTATTTTCGTTAGTCAAAATCAAAATATATTTACGTCAATAAAATCAGAAGAAATTGGATTTAATTATCATTTAATTACCATTTAATTCTCTGTTGCTTGTGTAATGTCGAAAAAAAAAAAAAAAGATGAGATATTGCTATACACATGGAAAAGTCGGTCTATTGCGTCTTAATAGACGCGGATTATGCATGCATAGTAACAAAGCGTGGCCTCTCGCGTAAATGCGCACCGCCAGGAATACTCCGGCGATATCTACGACCGTATTATTTATCTTTCAAGTTTAGCGAGTCACGTATGGTACTTTAATAGCTGTCGTTTGCTGCGTATCGTTCATGTCACGGTACAACTGTCAGTTCACCGCTCGTGGGCGGCACGTTGCACGGGCGGGAGGCTATAGAAGAAATACGCGAGGCACGATATGAATGTCATTTTCTTGGGCATAATAACGTTCTTACGATCGGAATCTTTGATAAAGTAGCGTGACTTTATTCCTTGCGTTAACCTTTCCCTCGGCCGGGGGTGTATTTCTGTATCTGACGAGCGGAAAAATATAAATATAAATCTCGTTCCACGAAGAAGAATCGTTTATCGGAGAAGATAAATCGAGCCTTAATGTAATTGGATTTCATTTCAAGCCGAAACGCTTAATCTTTTATAATCGAATTTATCTCAGCTAATGAGGGAAAAATTATCGATAAATGGTGAACGTTAATTAAATCATTGAGACTTAAGCAATGTGAGTTTGTGTAATATTAAAGTTATATGATGTTATACGAAGAATTAATCTTTATTATATATTGAAACTTAATCAAAAGAGAAGATCTATGAATAGGGACTTACCCCAAAATCAAAGATTTTGTATTTAGGCATTAAATAAAAATATGAATACGTAAAAAATGGGATGGATTTTATGTATTGTAGTTGGTCCAGTAAGGGCGGAAAATGGTGGCTCACAGGGCGATGATCAACCACCCACACAATATAATGACGGCGAGGAGAGAGTCATTTTCGTCAATGCCCCTCATCAGCCCGCAAAATACAAAAACAATCACATTACTACCGCAAAATACTCGTTTTTATCGTTCATACCACTGTTCCTTTTCGAACAATTCCGTCGCTACAGCAACTGTTTCTTCCTATTCATCGCACTCATGCAGGTAGAGTTCATGCGAAAATATTACGAATATAACGAACAGCAGTCAACACTGCTGAAGTTCTTTTAATATTTTTATTCGCAAATAAAATAAAAAAAAATCTATTTTATATATTTTCTTTGAATTTCGAAAGTATTTGACATGTTTAACATTTCTGATTTAAATTTAGCAAATACCAGACGTGTCTCCGACAGGACGCTGGACAACATTGGTTCCACTGATTTTCATCCTCAGCGTGTCCGCTTTAAAAGAGATAGTCGAGGACGTAGTAAGTATATTCATAGGATTAGTCTTTAATTATCTTGCATTCTCTTTGACATGACGGTATAAAAGGGACTTAATTTTTAGAAAAGGCACAGAGCGGACGATGAGATAAATATGAGGGAGGTGGAGGTGCTGAGGGATGGGCGCTGGCAGTGGATACAGTGGCGCGCCATAGCCGTCGGGGATGTGGTTAAGGTTGATCCCTATTTTCGTCCAGATGATTGATGCGATAATAATTAATCATCGGTTACATCTCCCCGCTAGAATCGCTCTCTTTAATATGCATAGGTTCACAACAACACTTTCTTTCCCGCTGACTTGATCTTGTTGTCATCGTCGGAGCCGCAGGGTATGTCCTTCATAGAGACCGCCAACCTGGACGGCGAGACGAATCTGAAGATCCGACAGGCCCATCCTGACACTGCCAATCTCTTGGATACCGCGGAGTTGATGAATTTCCGCGCGAATATCCAGTGCGAGCCGCCCAACAGGCATTTATATGAGTTCCACGGAGTCCTACGGGAGACCAATAAACAGTAAGAACACCTACGCAAACGTACATGTGCTAAATGCAATCAAGTACGTTTTCTCCTCACTGCACGCCTTCCTTGCGTCACTTCGCCGTTATTTGATTCCGATATTGACGAATGGAGAGAACGACTGAAGTATCTAAATTTAGCCAGATATAAATAAAATTACTATATAGAAATTTTTTTATATTTTAGCAATCAATTTGTATATGATTTATTTTGATGACTCAAGAAAATTTTTATTTCTGTTTTTTAAAAATATTTTTAGATCTGTCCCAAATTTTTTAAATATTTCAGCAAGACTGTTCTTTCTTCTTAAAAGTTCAATCCTCTTATTTGGATTGCTTTTTTTCTTGTATCAGTCCGTCATGTTGCAAAGCTTTGGGTGTCTCTTAAGCATCATTGTTATAAATGAAAATGTTTTGACATTTGTTAACATTTCGACATTTTCATATTGTGTGATAGTTTAATGCATCATTGCGTCACAGGCGGCATTGTTCTTCCACAGGAGCGTAGCTTTAGGGCCCGATCAATTGGTACTCCGTGGCGCGATGTTGCGGAACACACGGTGGGTGTTCGGTGTAGTGATATACACGGGACACGACACGAAACTCATGCAGAATAATACCGCGACAGCGCCATTGAAACGATCCACCCTGGATCGGTTGATCAACACGCAGATACTGATGCTATTTTTCATACTTCTTCTGTTGTGCATTCTTTCCGCGATATTTAACGTCGTGTGGACGAACGCCAACAAAGACGGCCTCTGGTACTTGGGTTTACAAGGTAAATATATACGCGGCACGTGCCGGACTCTCTTTATGCCACCGTTATACCTTGAATCTCACCTTTCTTTTCATTGCAGAGGAAATGACTAAGAACTTCGCTTTCAATCTGCTGACATTTATTATCCTCTTCAACAATCTAATACCCATATCCTTGCAAGTGACACTCGAGGTAGTGAGATTTGTTCAGGCCACATTTATTAATATGGACATAGAGATGTATCATCCGGAGACGGACACTCCAGCGATGGCTCGCACGAGTAATCTGAACGAGGAACTCGGGATAGTGAAGTATGTATTCACGGATAAAACCGGCACACTCACGAAGAACGTCATGGAATTCCAGCGGTGTTCGGTCGGTGGAAGACTGTACGAGTAAGTCCTATGCCGACAGTTATTTCTAGTACAGAAATTGATAATTTGAATATTTATTTTCTGCAAATGTTTTATAGTTTGCCAAATCCTTCAAATGGGGACGAAAGTACAAGTGACAGTAGTTGCGAGTTGATTAGAGATATCATCGATGGAAGATCCGTGCGGGATTCTACGAATCCCGCTGATAAGAAGAAAGCGAAGCATGCGGCTGTACTTCATGAGTTTATGATTATGCTGTCAGTTTGCCACACGGTTATTCCCGAAAAACTAGATGATTCCTTAGTCTATCATGCTGCATCTCCGGGTAAAAATCGCTTGCGAATATTTTTGTCGATATGATATTCAACGAATTATATTACGTTCTTCCTTCTAGATGAAAGAGCGTTGGTGGACGGGGCACGTAAATTTAACTACGTGTTCGATACGCGAACGCCCACTTATGTGGAAATCGTCGCTCTTGGTGAAACGCTACGCTACGAAATTCTGAACGTCATAGAATTCACTTCGGCCAGGAAGCGTATGTCGGTAGTCGTGAAGACGCCCGAAGGAAAGATTAAAATATTTTGTAAAGGCGCGGATTCGGTTATCTATGAAAGATTGACTTCTTTAGAAACGAGCGATCTTGACCTGGAACATGTGGATGATTTTCGTGAAACGACTCTCGAGCATTTGGAGACTTTTGCCACTGACGGATTGCGAACGCTTTGTTTTGCCTCCGCGGAAATACCTGAAAATGTTTATCAAGTATGTATTTTATTTTATTTTAAAAGAACGATGTTAATGAATTATTCGAACTTTTGATGATTCTTCACAGTGGTGGAGCGAATCATACCATAAAGCGTCAATTAGTCTAAGAAACCGTGATAGTATGTTGGAACAAGCTGCGAATCTTATCGAGAGTAAACTTACATTATTAGGAGCGACTGCAATTGAAGATCAATTACAAGACCAAGTATAGAATATTAAAAAGTTACAAAGTAAAAAGTTAAACACGTCGAGTAACAATAAATATGTAATCGTATTTCTTGCCTCTTAGGTCCCGGAAACGATACAAGCTCTTTTACAAGCTAATATTAACGTCTGGGTATTGACTGGAGATAAACAAGAAACGGCCATAAATATCGGTTACTCGTGTAAACTGATAACACACGGGATGCCACTTTATATTATCAATGAAGCTTCTTTGGATGTAAGTAGGTGAAAATTTTAAGCCTCATTGTCAGCTTAACATAAAATATGTCTCACAGAAAACGAGGGAAGTCATCATTCAGCGTTGCCTTGACTTTGGAATTGATTTGAAATGTCAAAACGACGTAGCTCTAATTATAGACGGCAGTACGTTGGACCATGCGTTGTCTTGCGACATCAGGATGGAATTTTTGGAATTGTGTTCCGCTTGCAAAGTTGTTATCTGTTGCAGAGTATCACCGATTCAAAAAGCTGAAGTAGGTTCAGTGATTAAATTTGATATAATAAATATAATAAATTCAATCGATAGCGATATCACGATTTTTTGTTATTCAGGTGGTGGATTTAATTACGAGTAACAAGAAAGAAGTGACTCTTGCGATCGGAGATGGCGCGAATGATGTGGCGATGATACAGAAAGCTCACATTGGCGTCGGTAAGTTTTGCATATTGATTTTTATTGAATATATTTAATTGTTGAAACATCGCAACATTCTGATTTTTGTAGGTATCTCAGGTGTAGAGGGTCTTCAAGCAGCCTGTGCCTCGGATTATTCTATTGCGCAGTTTCGTTTCCTAAAACGTCTGTTATTCGTTCACGGCTCTTGGAATTATAGCAGAATGTGTAAATTAATCTTATACTCGTTTTACAAGAATATTTGTCTATATGTTATCGAATTATGGTTTGCCATCTATTCCGGCTGGTCCGGACAGATCCTTTTCGAAAGATGGTCCATAGGATTGTACAATGTGGTACGTTTTAAGAATAATTATTAAGAATAATAACATTACTTTATATACAGTATTAAAGAATAATAAATAAAGTTAACTTAATATTGGTGGATTTTATAGGTTTTTACTGCTGCACCTCCGTTAGCTATGGGTCTCTTTGATAAAGTGTGTTCCGCGGAAACTCATTTGGCCCATCCTGGACTCTACGCGACGAAGAATAATGGCGAATCGTTCTTCAATATTAAAGTAAATATATTTTTATCCAAATAATATCTCAAAATTAGAAATATAACAAAAAATGAAGTGTTTCTAAATATATTTACATGTTTAAATAGGTATTTTGGGTATGGATTGTGAACGCGTTAATTCATTCATCGCTATTGTATTGGTTGCCGCTAATGGCTCTGAAACAAGATGTAGCTTGGGCAAATGGCAGAGACGGCGGCTATCTTCTACTAGGAAACTTTGTCTATACCGTAAGTGTATTATACAACATTTATATTGTGCAATTCTGTGAAAGATTTATAAAGCTTCTTATAAAAGAAATTATCTATCGCGTTGGTGTTCAGTATGTTGTAGTGACGGTATGCGTAAAGGCGGGTTTAATAATAAACTCATGGACATGGGTCACCCACTTGGCGACATGGGGATCTATTATATTTTGGTTCTTATTTATTCTTATATATAGGTAAGATTCTTGACATGATAGCGTTGAAAATTTTCTGACCTACATTAATATCACGTATAATACATTTAATACATTTTTTGCAGCAATGTTTGGCCCTTCCTGAACGTCGGTGCTGTGATGTTAGGCAATGACAGAATGTTATTTTCTTCGCCTGTTTTTTGGCTGGGACTTATATTAATACCTACAGCAGTATTACTGCTGGATGTTACAATAAAAGCGTGAGTACAGCTATTATTAACGCTCCAGCACAATATATGCTTTATACTTATATTATTATTTCTATTGTTAGAGTAAAGAATACAATTTGGAAGTCTGTAACGGAAACAGCCCGAGAGAATGAAATTAGAAAGTCTGATCCCGGTGATATATTCAGCAATCAGGATTATAGAAGCTCGTAAGTGCTTCCATTCTTCTTTGTTAAAAACTAACACATAGAAAATATGCGAAATTATATTTCAAATAATAGAAGAGGTGCTTCCTAACATTTAATTTATAAATACACGGTGAAAGGTTACATTTTTTATTATTATAATTGGTAATTTTGACTGTCTGAGAAACAAAGCGATTTATCATTAATTTGTTTCATTACTTTTGAAAGAATTAAAGCGCGTGTATTGGAAGAAAGGGTTAATACTTGATGCATGAAGGATATTTTAACCATGTATGTTTTGTTTTGTTGATTTACATTGAAAGTATGCATGGCTTTCTAGGTCCTAGCTCCATTATTGTGTACTATTAATATTCAAAATTTACTCGAATTGCCTGAGTGGTCTGATTAAAATTGTGGACAAAGATCCCCTGTTTGTTTTTGATAAATTTAAGTGCATGTATGTAACAATATTAATCTAATCTAATTACGAGAAACCTATCCAATTTTTTTGAAATAACACCGCCATCTATTTGCTCGCTTACATGTTAATTATTTCTCGGAGTGCATCTTGTAAGAGAAAAAATGTTTTACTATGCCTATCAATATCGTTGCCTCCTAATTGAACAGATTAACTTATGAACAATTATGACAGGAGGTCGACGAAGCGATGGTTTAAACGATATTGGACCTTGATCTATCCGCGACGAAGATGCAATAGGCTGAGAGTGTATTCGTTTGTAGCACGTGGCTCGTGGTTCACGCACCGTTCCGAGCATGCATCAACCGCAACACTACAAATCTCATGTTCCTGAATAATCCGTCCATCCCGATATATCCCTGCCTTTCAAGAGTGCCAATGTAGTAAGCATTTTAACACGAGTGATTACTACATATATCTCGCGCATACATTCCTCTCAAATGCAATATTAGAATTAGCGCGATATATAAATTATTCAATACTAATGTTGCAATATTAATATTAATGAAAACTCGACATTGTATTTCATATAGCAACTCTCTAGTTTTTCATATACGTACGCGCTGGAAATTAATCATGCAGCGTCTGTGTATCCTAAAATACTTTTGATCTATGAAAAAATCTTTGACGCAATATATATACAGTTCTTATATTTTTTTATATTTGGTATCATACTCGCAATTATAATAATATTTAATAATATAGTTATTATAATTATTTAATTCAGATATTATAGTTCAGATATTATAATTCAGATAGCAATTATAATTTATTTAATTCAGATATTTATTTAACGTATGTAGTAGAACTTCTCACACAGCTTTCACTATAATCCTAGTCAATTATCTGCGTTACTATAATATAAAAAATAATGATAATCATGGTGTGATAGGTTCCACTGCATATATCTCTATATATATAATTTCTATTATTATCATTATCATTGATTGTTATTAACAGTATAACCTTACCTGTGTTATTTTAAATTAAAGATTTATTTTATTTATACACGTTTCATTCCTCAGCATTGTCATTTAATATGCATTTCCTGTTTTACATGTGATGCGTGGCGTGTAGTTTTAGGCGGAAGATCAGTCCCTTGTTTTTTTTTTTTTTTTTTTTTATTTTTTTATTCTGTATACATACCTGCACATAAAATATTTCAATGGAGCTAGATTATTGTAATTCAGGCCTCCACCTGTACGACAAATGGAACTTGAAGTCACGTAGCATTATACTTTCTCTCCCGATCTTTCTAAAGTGATAGCGCTTGTGTAGAATTAACAGTATATCAGCCATTATATTAATGCTCACTGTAAACGATTTGTCATTCGTTAATATGGTCTTTTTTTGATGTGTTCTCTTACGTGGTATCCCATGCAGGCCTGTGCATGCCATCGCCGATCTCGCGAGGTGTAAGTACTCCCCAGAAGTAGTACGTAAAAGTTCTCAGTGCTCCCAATTATACTTTTTCTTTTTTATTCTCTCTTCACTACGAACAAGCGAGAACACCGCCGATTAAACGAGATCGCATGATCGTTCGATGTAACGCCTGGGCCAAGCACAGAGCACGGCAATTTTGAAAACCGCAATCACGCAGACGTCTCGAGATGTAGACACATGTACAAAGATTATAACTATTTTATTCACGCTTAAACTGCATACGTCCGACGCGCATGTCTATTCAATTAATTTAATTAATTTCCTAACGAGCATTACCTAAAAGGTATCGATCTCTCCCTTTGTGAATAAATTAATAGACACCTCTCACGATTTCCCACGTTTGATTTTCACCTTGTTCTCTTATTTTACTTAATTTCTGCACGGTAATCGCACCGCACTTACTGCATCCGTCGTTCGTTTGGGGGAGGGAAAAAAAGGGGAAACGAAATTTGCGCGGAGCTCGCGTTTTGCAATTGGAAATTGTGCCGTTGGCCGAGATTATTCCGAGGGGGATGATATTGAAAGATAGAACACTGAAAAAAACAGACACTTGTAATTCGCCGTTTGTCCATGTAACGCATGGACGAGGGAGCTCCCTGGCCAGCCGAGATTGTCTTAAATCATTGCTGAATGCCCGGCTTTGCAGATTGACCGAGACGGCGAGGCTGCTGAAAAATGTTAAAAGTGTTTTCACCAGGCGCTCGAACGCCGCCTCCAGAGTCAATGTCGAGGTGGAGCTATCACGTAAGTTGTCTCTTCCACAGACACTCGCATACCGGAGAAATAACTACCTGTTTACGGGATCCCACCCGGTCCCACCCCCTAACCGGTCTACCGGAATCGATTGCTCACACGTCTGTAAATTCTGTGACTCTCGCGAAACTTTTTTCTTACTGGGGTAAACTGGTCACGATTCCAACGTTCCTTCGTTACTTTAGCACTCGAGCACGCGCTTAATTTTTCACGACTTTCCGTCCGTCCGTCCGTCCGTCCGTTCGTAAGCTTTTGTTTTTATCGACGAGTGCTGTCTCAAAGTTTACAAGTTTACTATTTCGTACGAATTCTACGTGTTTTCGATAAATCTTGATAATTAACCGCACACTTTTGCACATGCACCGTATTTTATCATCTTATCTAGCTGAAAGTTATAGTCTTTTTAGCGGTCGATACGTGCATTTTACGCCTAGGCGTACCGGAAGTCGCGCGCTTCCTCTTTCATTCTCAAGTCCTCTCATGCGTGTTTCGTATCTGTCATCTCGAAAACGGCGGCGCGACACTTCCGGAACGCCTTGTACATACAGCTACAGTTTTAATTAGCGGAACGATACGAGACTAGAAACAAAAATTCTGTTTTTGATTTTGCTATAAATAGCGCTTTATTAAATCTCGATACTCAAATTACTTTAAGCAATCCCCGAGAATTTCCGGCTGCTACAAATAACATGTCTAGCGACGGGCTTAGAAAATCCGAAAGAAACAAATCAAGAATGAACAACAAAATCAAGACGAATATTCTCGTATATAAGCAAGAATATTAGAATCTACTTAGAAATCTTCCATGTGAAGATTATAATATTCTTATTTATATACAAGACTATTTATACTTGCATCGACTTGCAAATTCAAATCAAATCAAGACTAAAATTTTTCTAAGAAAATTATAATTACAATATTCCTGCTTATATACGAGAATATATAGTCTTATCTTGATTTATTTATTTTATTTATTTTTTTTTTTTAATCTTTTTTGTGAAGTTTCATAAACGAAACTATTTAGAGATCTGTTCGAGGACTTTTGAGAAGGATGATCAAAGGCCCATCGCTAGACGCGGCTAATTAGACAAATTAGAAGACACGCCCGATGCTATGCATGTCCAATTAATGTACGTTCTTGCGGCAGAGATTAATGAATTGCGACCTTTGTTATTGCGCATGCTGCGCGATGCAGATGGTTTCGCGTTCTCTCAAGAGGAGGGTGGCTCGGTGACCCAGACGGACGTGATCAGAGCCTACGACACGAATCTTCCGAAACCCGGCGGTATGTGATTTAAGCGATGCGGCCGCCGCGCGGCGAGATGATGCCAGCCGCTCTTCCAAGTGGCCTGACGATGGAGAAGCTCGCGGCTTTGCGTTTCGCTCGTCAGAACGACGTCCGACACAGGGTCGGACCGACATTAAGCTTAAGGACGACCAGGGAGAAAGAGTTCTTCATCCCCCTCCCCCCCCCCCCGACCTGACGCGTTTCGCTGCGTTAGAATCTGACGATCGCTAGAACGGCCTTTCAGTCGCGACTGATGATCACTAATTTACGTATTTTATTTCGTCGGACTTACCCCTAAGGAGAAAGGGAATTGTAATATTTGTAATATTTGTCGCGTTTGCAACGTTGAGCAACTCGAGGCAAGAGATTCCTCTCTGAGAATTACCGCGCGATCCACTTTCGCAGAAGAGTACTCCGATACTCAGCATGAATAATTATTTTGATACTCCGTGAAGTTTTATTCTGATATACCGTAGAGATCTCGTTCTTCGAGCATCGGCGCTGCATTTCTCGCTCGCGATGCATTTGAGAATGCATTTCGCGTTAATGTCAAAGTCGCGTGCGCATAATCCTATTATGCATCCAAAGGGGAAAGAAGGGAGGAAAGAAGAAAATCGTTTTCCATCTGTTTTCGCGAGGGCGGAACGCTCGATGTTTCCTTTCGGGCAAAAATCGTGCGGATTGCGCAAGTTGTAATTGCGATCTTAAATGTGTTAAGATGTATACATATATATATATATATATATATATGTTTCATACGTAAATAGAAGATTTTTGTGCGACATAATTATTCCAGGAACGCGTTCGAGCGGGATCTTTCTGGAATTGCAAATACCTCTATATGTATTATATATATATATATATATAAATAAATTGTACATTTCACAAATT